CTTCAGAAATAAGTGAAGATATCATCGACCGTCACTATCGTTTAAATGCATCATAGAAGTATCTAGTTCGTTCTGTCTCACGAAAGCGACTCCACGGCATCGACGATCGACTATCGCGAGATGAAGTATCACGGGGTATCAGTAGAGAGGACGTATGCGTCGCGGTGTGGAGGGCTGCCTTGCCTCTCGTTCCCGGTGTGAAGGGCTGCCTTGCCTCTCGTTCCCGGTGGAGAGGGCTGCCTTTCCTCTCGTTCCCGTGGTCCCCAGTGGCTTCATTCAACTTGCATCACGCAATTTCCCCACAAGAATGTGGAAGATCCGACTCAAAAGAGGAGATTCGAGTCCTGCTGTCGAGAGCAAGTCCCACGCAAAAGTTGGTCATTAACATTAAATAGTGGGGAGAATATCCAGAGGAAACACACAAACGTACAGACGACATGAACGTTTTCGATGGGTGGAGGAAAGGCCGCTGCGCAACCATCGAAAAGCATAAGATGGGGGAGGAAGGGGGCGGAAGGGGGCGGAAGGGTATGAAAGGGGGTGACTCACTGGAGGAAAAACAGCTGCTTTCCAGAGAAAAGGGTTCCGAGGAACGAGGGACAAGGACTTCCCACTGCAGAGGCTCATGCGAATAGGATCATCGAATGACGAATCGGTCGATCCGCACGACAAGAAAAGGAGGCTCAGAGGGCTCAGAGCAGACGAACAGAAGGGGTGGGCCCTTTTGAGAAGAGAAGAGTTGGGGCAAGGAGTCCGATACTTAGATATCTTGATACGGAGGGGGGGGGGGGGGGGGGGGGGGGGGGGGAGGGGNGGGGGGGGGGGGGGGGGGGGGAGGGCTGATAGTGGAAGATATTAAGTGATAACAAATTTCGTTCTACGAACAGAGCCGATCGCTTGAAGGCTGTTTCAGGCCAGCTTGTCCAGTATATATTATTTTGTCCTCTTTTTTTCTATGGCTGATCTCAAGAGGGTTAATCGGATTTAAGAAAATCACTTCACGCTTGAATCCCCCGATACCAAGGACTCGGCGGGAAATGAATCTGCGCCCTATTGCGGCTTGGCCTCTCGGACGGCAGACGGAGAGACAGATAACCGTCTTTATTGGCTGTGGCGATTCTTTTGCCGAGGCGGGCACTTGTCAAGGGGCCAAAAGAGATCCAACGGGTTAATAGTATCCCAGTAAATCTTTCTGAAAAACATCATTCCTCCAAAGTAAATATTGATTACCCAAGGCGAAAGCGCGTGGATTTACCTTGGATAGCGCAAAAACTTAAATAGAATGCAGGCCTCGAAACCCTCAGGCGGAAATGAAATTAATGAAGAAATCAGCAAGAAATAAGGACCCGGTGGAAGGATATCCGGGCAAAAAGGTCTCGAACGACATGCCCCCTGACATTTCGTCCCAAGCGAGTAATTGGACAAGCGGCCTCTGCTATAAAACGGTATAATAGCAACCGTTATAAATAAATAATGACAGTAAAAACTGTACTATTTACAAGAGACATCTCCAAAGCCCTTATTTTTGCTATAATTATAATATATAAAACATTTAAATATTGCCACTGTTTCACAAACATTTATTAACGTTACTATCCAATCGTATCTTATTTTGAACCACTTAGTGACATTTCTCATTTAGGACCAAAACGCTTGGGACGATCATGTCCTAGATTCCTGGGAACAGGGCTTAAAGTCTCACAATGAAGGGAAGCTAGGGTGCAATGTCGCTCGTGCCGATGCCATACTAGCGGTTGCTTTCATTCGAAGGAGAAACGTGGAAGACCGACCGAGATGATGCTATCGCTGCGGGGGCCGCAATAGAGTCGCTAACGAGCAGCCAGGTCGAGAGTCCTCTCGCCCGATCGTCCTTTTAATCATTTCCGCGACAGGTGAAGCGGAGCCTGATATCGAGGTTTCGAGTTCCTCGAGACCGATAAGGACTGGTCGAACTCTGTCTAAATCGATGCACCCTTTCAAAATAATGGATCGAGACCGATCGATTTATATCGATCGTCGCCAATCGCTCTTCTAAAAATCGAACTCGGCAGTTTAGCACGAGTTTTCCCAACTTGTGCGCAGTAGAATATTCGAAGAGTTCCCGAAGACCTTTCATGCTAGGTGATTCGAGAAGAGGGTATTGCAGGAAATTGCCTTCCTCCGAGAGACAGAGGAGTACTCGAAGGTCCCTTGTCCAAATGTTCGCCCTTCGAAAGGTAAAGAAAGAGAAGACGAGGAGAATGAGAGAAAGAAGGACGAGACAAAACTTTTCGGAAAAAAAGACGTTCGAAAGACGAAGGCCTGAAGATCCCTCTCTTTTCACCATTTTTCATTTCATTTTGACCCCCGGAGGCGAGATGGGGACGAGAGGATGAAGATATTGGATTTTTCTCTTCCCGAGCGATCGAGATAGAGAAATGGGGGAAGAAGGCAAATTCTTTCTTCTTTTCTTCTACCCAAGGAGAGAATAAAGATCCGAGTCCTGATATTATGGCCGGGGAGTGGAAGGAGATTCTTCTCCAACATTCTCTTTATCTCTCATTCTTCTCTCGTCTTCTCTTTTCCCCCCCGTTTCTCTCTTGAAACAGAGAAGCATTCAAATCGGGGATCATCCCCGTGTCTGGTCCTGCAACACTAATGCGAGAACGAGGAATGTCCCATATTATCAGCTGGGGGAACATGTCTCATCTCGTCTTCATCCCTCCAGATCTGCCCCGCGATATTTTGCCACATTCCGACGCTTATCATGAGATTCACGTAGTTTTTCTCGGCTCATGCCGCATCTCTCGAACTCGGAAGTTGTGAAAATGACTGGCACCCGGACACGGGGGGAAAGAGAGATGAGTGACTCGCTATTGCAAATTGAAGTCGTGATGGCTTGCTTCTGATCCCCAATTTTCTTCTTTTTCTTTTTCTCTCAATAATCGAGTTTTGAAATTTCGTATAACGTAAGGAATATGAGCCAAACTTGATGGAATTCAGAGCAAATCAGGACAGAGAGGATTCTCATGACATGTCGAGATACGATACAAAGGCAAAAGGTAGAAGCGGGTTCTTTGTCTCGTCAAAGAACGATGAGACGGATTGAGATTCACTCGTCACTGTCGATGGCCGTATTGAACTCGGCTCATCGCCGAACTCAGAAAATTTTCACTTTCTCCTCCGTTTACCGGAGGACTGAAAGCAAACCGGCATTGTTGAGACGATAATCTCGAAACGATTTCGGACGGTAAAACAAAAAACCACGATGAGAGAAGTGGGGGGGGGGGGGGGGGGGGGGGGGGG